ACAAATTCACGACACACATCTAATGATCTAATGTTCTCTCGAAAGTTGCATGTAACATTTACTATTTTTCTAGGGAATTCTTACAAAAAAAAATGCTTAAATGGGGCAAATTTGGCCCGTTAACTTCGTTGATTTGAGTTTGTAATTCGAGTTGAGATGTGATTTTATGTGAGAGCTTTTTACTGTAGCAAAAAAGTTAGATGTGACTGTTTCTGAGAACTTTTTACTGTAGCAAAACTCAAATTCTAAACTCAAATCGGTAAAGTGAACGAGGCCTAAAATTTAAGAGTGAAAGTAAGAATTTTTAAGCTTTAAAGGGTGACATGAGAATGACTCTAAAATCTAAGAATAGTTAATTAGATTAATCCAAAAATTTTTACTTTTTTTTTTCTCCTCTATGTTATTCTATTTTTATTTGACTCATTGAAGGCACAGAACAATCTCTCTCGCCCTCTCTCTTTGTGTTCTTTTTTTTTTGTGTGTGGAGAATTAGAGCAATCTTTTTTTGAGGCATACCTTTTTGTTTAGAGAATCTTTACAGTAAGACATGTACTTTTGTTTCACTAATAATAACGGTTAAAAGTTGAATTAATTTTCAAACGCCCAAATTTATATGTGAACGTATTAAAAAAAAAAATATATATATATATATAATATGAAATAACTCATACTTCAAATTAAATCATTCAAAAGCTAATCTAATTATTAAAATACAATTTCTATTTACAGAAAAATATTCATATCCTACTGTAAGTTTGACCATTTGTTTATTATTATCGATTCAAAGTTCAAAATAAAAATGATGCCCAATAATTACTATCCACTCATTGCGAATTTGAAGGAAAAATCTGAAGGACAGTACCCGAAAATTAACATCATTAATTTGCCCTAATGATATATACCATAATTCTTGTGAGAATGGTTCGTTCAGTAGAGTTTTTATTTTTGTTTTTAGTAAGTAAAAGAAGATATATAAAAGCTGTAATTTTTTAATAAGTGTTTGGAATAAAGAATTTAATGTGTTAAAATAATTTTTAAATTTTCTAATAAATAATAAAAGTGTTAAAATTAAATTTATAATACCCTAATTAAACTCTAATATAAATTTTAAAATGTATTCAGAAGTGTTTTTTTTAAATTATAATTTCTGATTTCGATTAAAAATTCTTTTGAAAAATTAAATCACTTTTGACAGATGATTTAAACATTTTTAAAAGTAACTTTTATACTTAGCTTTTTTGACCCAATATCTCAAATCTCAAATAGGAAAAAAGTGCATATAATTATGACCTTTAGACGCATTCTTATTATTCCGAAATATTTAGGTTTTATTGAATTGAAATATAACAAGAAGCAAATAAAAATATTCCATAGTATGAAAAGCCACATGGATTATAGCAATTAATAAACGACTAACAGATCGGTATGAGAAATAAATATTCTCAGTATTTTGGAGCGGATTGTGATGATAAATTGCTGGATCATTATACAGAAAAAACAAGTACAAGACTGTTTAAAGTACTGAATACTAATAAGAGATTAATATCTTTCAATTGTTGCATTATTTGACTCAATTATAGAAGGAATCAATACCTTCCCATTTGGAGCATTCAAAGTTTGGACAAAGCTGAAAGCTTCTTAGTTGGTTGAGAATTTATGCTTTTTTTTTTCCCTGCCCGAAAGCATGGAATTTATGCACTTCAATACAACCATTATTTTTATTTTTATCTTGTCGTATACTACTTATCTAATTTCAAGTTGCCCTGTATTTTCTACAAAACAAAATAGAAATAAAAAGTTGCCCTCTATTTTCTTCATGATGTTGAGGCCCCAACTATTGTCAGTCATTCCGTGTATATATTCAAACACTTTTCTTTGCCTTTTACCGTATTGGTATTTCATTTGTTCTATGATTGACCAAGTACCATTATTGCCAGTTGGGTATACTGTCACTCATGTCCCAAGATCTATATATGCATATACATATATATATATATAT